TGGTACTGACACAACCAAGGGGCTGGGACCTGGCTGGAGCACAGCAGGGAGCTCAGCTCAGGCCCCATGTTACCGGTTGTAGTTACAGGGTGCAGGCAAGAGGAGCAGGATGTGCCCCCCTCCCAAGGTGAGAGCTCCTGTTCTGGGAGATGGGAGATGCTGAACTGACTGGGAAACAGCTCAGCAAACCACATGGGGGGCTGTGATACACGGGCTTTGACAGAGGAGACCTGCAGAGCTCAGTGGTACCCATGCAGCACGGTGCTGTGCTGGAGGGCTGGGGTGTGTGCGTAGGCACACCTCTGCCCTGAGCTCCCAAGGAGAGGGGAGCCCCATGAAGGTGTGCTGGTAGCTGTGAGGTGATGCTGACAGCCCTGGGGCATTGGGGGGTTAAAAGTAGCATCTCTGGTCCCTGCTGGAGATGCGGCTGGTGACAATTCCCTGTTTTCCCTGTGTTTGTCCGTACTGAGGAGGGTTGTGTCGCTCTTGGCAGTGCTTGAGCCTCCCTGCGGAACCCAGCTGCAGCAATTAGAGTTGTCCTGCTGTCAGCTTTGGGTTGAAATCCCGGCGCCTTTTTAATGTCCCAGCTCCTCTGGAAAAACGAAGCCTAGGTGCAAGCATCCCTGCAGCTCTCGGGCCAGCAAAGCAAGCGCAGGACTGAGCCTGGGATCAGTGCTGGGACAAACCCCTTCCAGCAGAGGAGTGTTTGGACAGAAGCAGTGCTTGATCGTACTCTGCTCCTTTCTCATTTCTTTGTATCTGTGAGATTTTAAGGAAGAAGCTGCTTGAATCTTTTTCCTATGATTAGAGACACCTTGAGAGACTTTTGTCTCTCCTTTGATCAGTGTGCTCGTCTGGCTCAACAGCTGCGTGCAGATAAAAGCACTATGTATAAAGTACGAGGTATTGTTCTTTTTTAATTAAAAAACTTTAAAAGCTCTTTGCATGAGGTTAAGGAAACATCAGGATCCTTTCCTGGGTTATTATTAGCCTATTAATTTACGCAAAGCCTAAGAGCTTTACAAACCAAACGTACTTTTCACCATGGAGATGGCTGCTTCTCCCAGACTCCTCATCCTGGACAATGACAGGAATACCAAGAAAAACAAGGCTGAAACTTCCTTTCTGCTCAGCTGCTCCAGGTCCAGCTCAGCCAGGCCCTGTTTGGTGTGAAGAACTGCTGTTTGTTGTAGCTTAAAGGTAGACAGGGGGGTTGCAAACGGCTCAGGACCTTTCTGGGGGAAATCTGTGCTGAGAAAGTCCATGAGAGTCTTTAACAGCACAGCCCTTCCAGCCTCCTCCTTGGTGTGCTGGAGCTTCCCAGACAATGACAGCCACTCCTGCACACTGAGCTAGCTTTGCCTTTAGGCAGCGACAGGGAAATATTCTGCACTAAAGAAGGGCCTATCCTTTAGAAATGGAAATACGTGATTCCCATCAGTGGTCCCAGTGGAACCAGGAGCAGGGCCAGGGACAGCTTTTCCCCCTTCAGTTTGAAAGGGCAGGGGATTCTACCAAAATGATGGTGTGCAGGGAGTGCCTGCACCTCGTCATCCTGGGAAGGGATGGGATCTTCCATCTGTAAAGCAGGAAGGCTTCACTAGGGAAGCAAGCGTCTTTGGGGCTGTTCATGGCTCAGCTCCTGGTCAGCACAGGATGGTTGGGCCATGCAGGAGTGTGAGGCTTGGGGAGCAGGGGATGGGACTTGCTCTGCTCTTTTCAAGCCTTGCCTGTTTTGTGGCAAATCCCACCTCCCAAAATAACCCAGGCTTTGGCCCTCTTTTCTCCTGCCACCCATAGGCACAAATGATGCCAGGCAAGGCTCTGGGGGAGACCATGCAATACAGACTGGCAAGCCCAGGAATCACAAGAGAAGGCAATTCTGTCAAGGCTGGGATATCCCCCTGCTCAGGAAGGGGATCTGGCCTGGATGTCCCCAGATCCCTCCAATAAACGATCCCAGGTGTGGGATGTGACCCCTATTATACCTCTTCCTCCTCCTCCTTATGGCACTGCCATCCAATAGCCCCAGCCTCAAGGGTGCAGAGCAGCCCTTCCTAGGGATGCCAGCATCTTCCCAGCCAGAGCAGGAGTCAGGGCTTGGTCCCGGGCACTTCCAACCCCCTGCACACCCCAGCACTGTGCCAGCAGAGCCAAGGGGAGTGACAGTGGCAAGAGCCTTCCTCCTGGCCCCTGGCCATCCAAGTGGCCTCCAGCCTGTCCGCAGGAAGAGGCTAACGGCGGTCGGGCAAGCCACCTCCTCAGCTTTGAGTATCACTTTCAGCTATTCTGAAGGTTAAACGCCTGTTTAGAGCTCCCTATTGACGGTAGGGCCGGGGGTGCAGCATTGTGCAGGCGTCCTCCCGCTTTGTCTGCCCGCTTTCAGGGATGCCCTGAATGGGAAGCGGCCCCCCCCCGGCCCAGCACCCCGGCAGAAGGGCCGGCTCCTGGGGGAGAGCCGCTTCCTCCCGCCCTTAATGACATTCAGGCCTCCATCGGTTCAGCTCCCGCTTTCTTTCTGCTGCAGTTTAACCCGGGCACAGAGGCCGGGCTCCATCTTACTGATCTCTGCTTGACACCCAATTACCACATGAATGGGAGAGAAAGGCTGCAAAAGGCTTTAACTCCCACTGACCCTCCTTCCCCTCTGCCTGCTTCCCCCCGCCCTTCTCCCCATCCTACCCCCTCGGCGGAGGGAGTTCAAAACTGAGACGGGGGAAATCAAACAAAGCCCCGAGCGAGGAAACCCATTGTCACCGCCTCCGCCATGGCTCCCCTTTCGCCAGCCATTGTTCGCCGGGCAGTTTGCCTTGCTGTGTGGAAGGATGCGAGCAGCTGTTGGTGCATTCCCCTGATGTTTTATGGAGAAATAATGGAATCGTCAGCGCGGGGCTCTCGGATAAAGCTTTTCCTCGTAGCGCTGGGCCTTGTGTTTATGAACTGCGTTATCCTCTAAAACACGATGGAGAGTCTCCTCCAGAGTAAACCTTCAGAGGGGAGATGGAGGCATGGCCCTCTCCTGCACTCAAAGGGAGAGAAAAAGTGTGCAAATGGCAGGGCTGAAACTAAAGCCAGGGCTGAGACAAAAGGAATTAACCCCTCCTTATTGCCAGGCTGTTTCCAACCTGTTCCTTTGTTTGGGCACAGTTGGCTTTGCCAGGGCATCCTGCTCGGTTGCTGTATAACCAGGGTGAACACCACAGTGCCCTGGGGATGGCCGGTCCTGCCCAGTGCCATTCCATGCTTGGGACTGAGTGAGGGATCCTCCATAGACAATTGGGTATAAAAAGAGGAGTTTAGCTTAAGTAAAGCACAGTGGCACATCCTTGGGTTTGAACGAGAAGATGGCATGTTACAGCAAACCGTACCCCGGAGCACGCATTCACAGCAGGATCCTTGTCTTCACCTCAATTTGCTTTATGTACCTGCTTATCAAACACCATCGATGTTGACAGCACTCAGAAACAACAAGGGCAGCACTACTCGAGGAGGTTACGTGCTTGCTTTCCCCATCCCCAAGCATATGCCAGAGAATTTGGGATGCTCTGATTTCCAGTACGGAGATGGGACCCGCTCCTCTCCCAGACACAGGATGTCCATAAGAACATCCCCTATATCGTACATGTTCATTGACTCTATTTCCAGGGCAGTCACTAGCAATAATCAGCTCTAAATGCTTGAATGAGCCAAACTGGTGTTGATAATTACTATTCTCTTCCTTTTTCATTTATTTTGTGGTTTTTTTTCAGTACTAACATTAAATCTGTAATATTTTGTTGCATTTCTGTAACTCAGGAATCGAGATTCCTTTTATAAGCCAGGTCTGCTATTATTTGGCCTCATAAACGATTCCTGGAAGCAAGAATAATAGCCCATATAAAACCATAACTGCAAACACTGATCTGGAGTTCAGATTACCAGGTCCTCTGTATAGAGTGCTTCAGTCGTTTCTGAAGTGTATAGAAGTAAGCTTTTGGTCTGAGGCATCTTTCCTCAGCCAGTTTCCAGCACAACCAGTTCCATATCCTCCCAGATCCTCAAAAACCCCCTTTGGGATTTAGAGACATTTCAAATCCAGCTGGAATTCTGTGGATGAAGACCACGGTCAACAGCTTCACGTCACCCCGGCAGCGATGGCAGCATTCATCTGTGCTGGGGACCGGCCTTTCCTGGGGCCCAGCCCGGAGAATGATCTCCTCTGAGAACAAAAGGCCATTACAAACACCACCACCTTCTGCTCTTGGGGTTAGGCATACCCTGACCCCCGTTAGCATAAACCAAGAGCAATCTGTCTGCGGAAATTTACGCCCCTTACACATCATGCACCGGGTGTATGCTGTATATATTACACTGCTACGTGTCTGTGTGCAGATATAAGTGTATATGCTAACACACAGAGGGAGGTTCAGGGGTGCAGCCCAGCGCAGCTCCATGCTGAGGGGGGGACAAGAGCCTGCGCCATCGCAGCCCCAGCTGTCACCGCCATGGCTGCATCGCGCCCGGCTCCACGCTTCCCCCTCTGGGGACAGGAGGGGAAAGCAAACAGGGAACAGATGTGAGCCGGGCGGGACGGGGCTACTGAACCGCCGCCTCCTCCGGCGCATCTCCATGGCGGTGACAGGAGCGGCCGTTGCCGCGGCCACACCGCACATTTAAATGAGGCTGGGTTTGTGCAGCCCTTTTGCAGCTCTGCCCCAGCCCTGGCAGTGTTCAAGGCCAGGTTGGACACAGGGGCTTGGAGCAAGCTGCTCTAGTGGAAGGGGTCCGCGCCCGTGGCAGGGGTTGGAGCTGGAGGAGCTTTAAGGTCCCGTCAACCCAAACGCAAAGAGCCCACCGTGAGGGCGCACCTCAGCAGGCACGGGCCGCCCTTCCAGCAGCGCTAACGGGAGCCTAAACCCGTCCTGAGCCCCGCTGCGGGCTCCCCTCAGGCCAGGCCCCATCGCCGCTCCCCGGTAGAACCCATTAGGCCCCAGCGCCGCTCCCCGCCTTGAACCGCCGTTGCCAGGCAACGCGGCGCGGCCCGGAAGCCGGCGCGGTACTTCCGGCGCGGCCCGCGCGCGCCGTCCCCGCCGCTGCCAAGATGGCGGCGCCCGTGTCGCTGCAGGTGGAGTTCGGGTGAGCGCGGGCGGCGGCGGGGCCTGGGGAGGCAGCGGGGGACGGGGCGGGGGGGACGGACGGGGACGACACCGGAACGGGCCCCTCGGTGAGGCGGAGCTCCTGTGGAGTGCGGGCTGTGCGGCCGCGACCAGCCTGTCTGGGCCCGCGGGGCTCCGGGGCTGCGGCCCGGGGTGGCGGTGCAGGCGCTGCCTGGGGTGGGGGGCGGGCAGCGCCGGGGCGGTTTCCCGGCTCCGATAGAGCGGCCCTGCCCTGTTCTGAAGGGAGGCGGCGACACGGCCTCGCCCGCGGTTGTGTGAGCGTCTTGTGCCGGCGCTTTCCTTTCTCCCCTTCCAGCCCTTGCTTGCTTTAATGATTAAAATGATTTATTGAAACCTTCCACTCGTTTTTCGGCTTTTTTTCCTCTCTATTCCCGTGTGTGTACGTGTGTGCTCGCTTCGTGTCTCAGGTTATTTCAGGGCAAAACAGCCTTTGTAGCGTTTCAGGTCTCGGCTGCCGTAGGATCCGCGTTGCTCCCCAGCGCTGGCGCTGGGAAGTTCAAGTGTTTGCAGTGGAAGCCAGTGCGTATTTGTGGAAATACTCGTGTTATTTTCGTTAAAGCCTCCTTTTACCAGCAGCTAAAAGGCTGCTCTTTATTCGCTTTTTCCCACCCTTTCACAGCACAGAAACGCCATAACCCCTCAAATGCTCTTCTCCTGAAGAATCCTTTCCTCAGTCTTTCCCACTTCCAGCTGCAGGAGCTCTCCTAATTTTTCCCAGAAGAGTGAGATGCATTTTTGCTCCCTTTGGAAATGCATAAATGAGCTCTCTATGTAGGAATCGCAGCTGAGGTCCCCACGGCTCGCGCATTACAGAAGGACCTTATCTTGCAATCTACATTTCCCGCTGTAACAAAGTGTGACCTTGTTTTCGTGACATCAAAAAATGTTTTTCATATAATCCTTGTCACTTGTCCCCTCACATGAATCCCCCCTCGTGCTCATAATCGCCGCTTCAATTGCCACATAGCTATTTTTTGTGTGAGCTGGGGGAAGGACATCAACAGAGTGCTCTTTAGGAGACTCACTGCATATAAGTAATGCTGCCGAGGGCATAACAAGGCTTCTGTTGTGCTCTTCCATTGCAGAGCCAAGGAAACCTAGTGGGGCATTTTGAGATACTGGATTTAAAGGAGCTTTGGAACGTCTGGATGTGTCTTTTGTTGATAGGTTAGGTGGGGATTATTTAGTTGAAATACCTCTCTTTCTTGTGCTGCTTCCCAAGGGATGTGAGGCACCAATGAGTTTCCAGACAGTAACTTCCTAAGGTTATCTTTTTAAATTAGTTAGTGTTTGAAGTTGGAAGAATGTTTTGCCACAGTTATAAACCCTTTGAAATCGGCTTGGTCATTTTTCTACCTTGGTTGGGTATCAAATGAGTTGAGGTTCTTGGGAGCTTCCTAATTGTTAAAGCTTTGGCCATCCTGTTCAGTCTAGGGTGAAGAGTTTGTTCTGTATCTTAAAAGTAGCACTCGTGTTTATTATCCGTGTCCTTACTCACATGATAAAGTTTCACAATCTAAGGCTGAGTTGTCCTGTGGCCTCACAACATCAGGAAAACTGATTGATGTTTGTAAAGCTCCAAGTTTCCACAGTTGTCCTTTGGGCAGAAAAGGGGTGTTTTGAGGAGCTCCTGAGCCTTGTGAGTTGCAGTTCCAAACAATGGAGGATTTTTTTGGAACAGCCTAAAGGAGATGAGGTACCTGGACCCAATTTAAATCCCATTCTTTCGAGGTCCTCCTGTCCTTCCAGCCTCTGCATATTTTGCTCACACCAGAGGCCATCAGTGAGTTATCTGAGGCTGATCCCTCAGTACGTTCTGACTGTCAGAAGAGGGATGTTCGTCAGGTTGTTCCGTGGAGGATTGTGTGTTTGTTTATTCATTTTTCACTTATCATCGTTGTCATTTGCTTCTCCCACTCAAGTCCCTCCCAAGAGGGAATGTTCCGTAGCAAGCAGATCAAGAAGAGGTTGCCAGGGCTCAGGGATGCTGGCTCTGGTTGCTGTGTAACCTCCTGTGAGTCATTTCCTCTCTGTTCACAAGTGGAAATAGGGGATTATTTAGAAGGATGCTACAGTTCTGTTAAAGGCCTCGAGGCTTGTGACTATAAAAGGTACTGGGGACGAGAGACGTGGGATGTCATGTGGTGGCTGTAATGCTGTTTGGGCTGCAGCAGTGCCGACAGCTGGAGGCGTTAGGCTGGATGCTGCGTGGCCGTTTGTTAGCACATTGAACTGGGAACCATCTTCCTGTTCTGCTGGGATGATGCCTGGCACCGTGGGGTTCTGGCCCTCAGCAGAGCCTCCTGTGGGAGCTGGCGATGGGAGATGGCAACTTCCCCTATGAACGTGTGGTTTGCAAGAGGAGGAAAAAGACAAAGAGAATCCTGTGCTAAATATAGGCTGTGTCATTTGTTTTCTCCGTTTTTGGCATCTATGTAAATCGCCTCTTTTGTACTGTCTTCCTTTTGACAATAAAGCAAAATCTCAGTGGTTCATTGTTTTTATTTCAGAGGTGGTGCAGAATTCATGTTCGATGGTGTCAAAAAGCATCAGGTGACTTTGCCCTGTCAACCAGAGCCTTGTGAGTATCAGAACCTGTTGGATAACCTGAAAGAAGGACAACAAATGAAACAAAGCTGGTTTGTACGGCAGTTTCATGAGTTGGCAACAAGAACTGATGTATTTTAAAAGCACTTTCAGGCATGCTGTGGATCACATAGCTTGGCAGAAAACAGTCCTCAAAGTAAATACCAAGCAGAAATAGTCGGAGCATCTTTCGTCTCCTCTAAGCACTTGTCTTTTGCCTTAAGACTTTTTCCTCCTTCCTCCTGGGTAGACAACAGCCTCTGATTGCTTCCATCAAGTCTACATTTGTCTTGCTTGAAAGCACCAATAACGTCTTCTCTCTGTTTTTTTCTTGCCTGTCCTGAGGTTTTCAAGAGAGATATAAGTGTGTGTGCGTGTATATGTAGTGAATAGGTACGTGGGGGTGTGTACAGCAGTGTAACATAAATGCATTTTCTCTACTAATTGAACTTACAAGTATACGTACTTGTTCTATATTAACTGTGCAGTTGAAAATGGCAAAGCTAGCACTTGAATGTGATGCTGAACATCCTGTCTATAGCCTTCCCTATGATAGAAAATAGGACTTGAGTGTCCCAGTGATAAACAGTCATCATTTCAGGTTTGTGATTTGGAGTATCAGTACTGAGAAGTGCTGTACTAACTCTCTTGTTTCTCCTGATGCGTGTACATACTTCAATTGCAACATAATTTTGCCTCAGGTATGCTTTGAATTCTCCCAGCTAGAGAGGAATGCTTTGTGCTATTTGAGAGTGGGATTATAAAGCAAAATAATACAAAGCATCAGGGAATGTTAGCAAGTAATATCTCATGAATGGCCAACACTGTAATATATGTGCTGTGAACATTCAGGCCTGAAATCTTCTTGCCGTGCCTGGAAGTAATTAGAGATTGGTAGAAGCGCTTTTGATGTTTGGATGTAAGTATGTGTAATTCAGATGTAATAGGAGCACTGGACTGGTGTGTTATCTTGTGGTTAAGACAGGGACTAGGGATCCAGAAACATGACCTGATACTGATTTGCTTTGTGACTTTAGTCGTGTTGCTTGACTTTCCCCTGTTGCTAGTGAAGTAGTAGTGCTGCTTTCATGTATCGCAAGAGAGTTCAGTGTTAAATTCCAGCACTGTTCAACCACTTAAGATCCTGGAATGGAAAGCAGTAAAGAAATGCCAAAACATTCATTTAGTTGGTTTATAAGCTTCAGGGCTAGAGCATAATTTTCTTCAGTGTTCTGTAAATGTAAAATACCCACTGATGTGTGCATCAATGCATTGGTGGAGTTCAGATCACAGTCAGATCCTCAGAAAGATGGGGTTATTACGTGGGATGTTTATTTCTGCCAGGGGAAGAGGGGAATTAATATCAAAGCATGATTCTTCCAGCCCGATGGTTGTCAGTGGGGCAGTTGTATGTGGCCTAATCCGTTCCCACCTGCAGTTGGAAGACTTCTACAGACTTCACTAGGAGCTGGGTTTACCCTAAAGGATAGATCTTTCCCTTAAGGTCTGGCCCAGTCTCAGGGTTCAGACTCATGATCTCCAGTGGCTCATTCCCAGTTCATCTAGCACATTATTGCTCCCAGCTTTCCAGGCTGCCTTGTTCTTCAGATGCTGCTATTCCTGTATCAGGAGTGGCAGAATGGACAGTGTGCCCCCTTGCTAGCTCCCCCCATTTGCAGCCTCCTGTTTTCATGTGCATTGAGTGACAGGGGGGTTTCAGCTTTTGGGTTGAGTTGTGAGGCTTCTGCTATAGTGACATTTACACCCAGCACAGGGGTGAGGTAGGGAGATGTGGGGTTGATGTCTGATATCTGGAGACACTCCTCAAAGTACTAACAGATGGGAATTATGTTGTAGTGGTGAGGAGTCAGTAGAATCGCATCAGAAACATGTGAATAAGGAATTTGGTAAATTCCTGCAATTTTACATTGTTCCTAATACCATGTATTTTCCTCATTCACTCTAAGAAGCATTAATTCACCTCTCTCTGGGTAAATAAAGATATATGTAGTATGTTCCCTGCTGCCCTCGTGCAGCCAGAGTGACAGTGGTTAGAGAAATAAACCAGCTCAGTTATACTCAGTGCATCCTGTTGCTTACCTTACCCCCTACATCCGTCACTTAATACTCTGGGGAAAGAGCAGTAGTATGAGCAGTACTTGAAGACCTGTACTTCTAACCCCATTTTAACTGGTTTCATTAGCCATCAGGCTTATTTTGGGCCATTTTGGCCTCTCTTACCTACTCTTCTTCTCTTTGTAGGTTATTTTTGTCTTTGTCCTCCTTTTTGCAGAGCAGCTACTTCTCTCTGGGACATTGGGCCCAGCTATATTTTAATTGTTTAGGCATTTTTATATCTATCCCAGAGGTGAGGGGAGGTGGAAAATGAAAGAAGAGATATTGACATGGATAAACCAAGCTATGCTCCATAGTTGACAAGGGCAATGTTCTCTGAGTGATAATAAAGTTGGACATATTTTTATGTGGTTGTTTCCTTTTTCCTGGTCACAGGCACCAGGTGAGAAGTAGCTGGGTTCCAGATCCAGTTAACTTTTACGAGAAGATTTGATTCCCTGTCCTTTTCTGAGGTGTGGAGATGGGCTCCTGGAGGGGTTTGGAAAGGCAGGAGGGAAGAAGCTGCAAATGGGACAAGAGCAAACAAGGGGTACAGCCGTGTGGTGGGACCTATTTTTATTACCCAAGGGGCTTTTTGTATCCTAACACCAGTAAGAAAGCAGTTCTTTATTTCCAAAGCAGAGCTGCCTTAGCCTACATGGTGAAGTTTTGAAGTAGGAACTGACAGAGGTGTGATCCGTGGCACAGGGAGACAGGTTTACATCAGTCACACTTTGTGCTGGACCGTGTCATCTTTTAGAGCAGTTGCAGAAAGAAGACCTCAAGTTAAACAAGAATCGTGTCCCAAATTGCTGGCTGTTTTGATGATCTCATTGATAAATTTGTTAGAGGATCTAAAGGCATTATGCCCTGTTGGTTTTTTCTGCATAAAGACTGTGTGTGTGGGAGAAAGCTGAGGGAATAGTGGTATTTGTCTCATGGAGAGAGGATTAAATTGGCAGGGAAATCAACTTTATTTGCAAGCATCTAAGAAGCTATTAGAGACAATGGAGCATAAAAGAGAGAAACCCTAAATTAAAAACTGAAAATGTATTTGGCAGCCTCATCCTGAAATAAGCCACAGTAATTTAAGCAAGTGCTCCAGTAATCAAATAGGTCATTGTATGACTGCTCTGCAAGCGATGCCGGAGCTCCTTCCTCCATCTCGCTGGGACACACAGTGGTGGATTTGTCTATGGCCAAGTGAGTTGCATGGACGCTGTTGGAAGGGTAGGAAGTCCCTGGCATTGTTTAACCCTTGTAGCCAGTTCAGGTTTAGCTCAGCAGCGTTGTGCTGATGAAGAGGGTTTACAAAACCTCTCTGCTGTGCTGCCTGCTGGATGCTGCATCCAGAGGTTGGGGCTGGTTGCAGAGTCTGGCAGTTGTGCTGCTCAGCTGCTGATCGCAGGCCTTTGAATTCCAACTTCTCCTGTGGTTCCAGTGATGGGACTTGTGTTTTGGAACAGCAGTGACCAGCTGCAGCAGCGATCATTTGGACCTGGGGTAATCCAGAATTCACGGTGTGTTTTGGCATTTACAAGTCTGGAAAGATACATTTTTAATCAGTGTCTTTTGGTAATTGTTGTGTGGTTTCCCTTTACCAAAACCCCAGGGAAAAAGCTTTTTGCTAATATTTATTTCTTTTTTTTTAAGAGGAAAATATATCTGCCAAGTGCTGCTTATGTTAAATCCCTGTAGAGAAGAGCATGGTCTGCTCCTCAAGAGCTTCGCTTTCTAGAGGCCTTGTTCTGCACAGCATGGAGGGAGTTGGGAGCATTCATCTTCTCAGAGAAGAGCCTGGGGATCTCAGGAGATCAGACCTGTGTTACAGGCAGAGTGGCTTAAAAAATACAGCATGGCCTGTGGTCAGAGTTGACTGGGTGCTGTGCCAAAACAAGGTGTAAAATCAAGAGCAGTAGCTGGCATCACTTGCATGTAAATGCCCAGTGCTATTGGTAGGTAGTATGCTGCAGTTAAGTTATTAATATTCTGGAATGCTTTTATTGCTCTGTTTATTATTCCTAACATTTTAGAACTTGCTCCAAAGAGAGAATAAAAACATATTTGGTAATGCAGCTTATTAGAATGATAACAAAAAACCATAGCTCTATGGAACTTCACGCAGTCACATCTTTAACCACAGTGCCTGGTGCTCACAGGTCTCAGAGGAGTCTGGGGCTGTTCCTGGACTTGTGCATCTCTCTTAGACAGGGTATATATATTGTTGGCAAGGAAAGGGGACTCAGTGGGATGCTCAGGGTGGGACCTGGGGCTGGACAAGCTCAGTTCTGGATCCTGGCTGCTCTTTCCAGTGATCAGTGTGAGTAACCACTTTTGCACCACCGGGAGCCCGGTGGGATGCTGCTGGGCTGCCACCACCGCTGTGATCCAGTGGTCCCTGCTGTTCTTGCAGTCATGGTGTGGGACTCGGTGGCACTGGGTCACTCTCCCAGCTTCTGCACGAGGAATGAGTCCTTCAGAGAGAGTAGAAACAACCGTGTGCCCTCACCAGAGCAGTGCCAGCACTCACCCAGGAGGCCATGGAGCCATGTTACCAGCTCGGCTCATCCCAACTCCTTGTCGAAAGAGCTTCCCAGGCATCCAAACCCCAGCTCTTGTGTGTGACCAAATCCCTGGCATAACAAAGCCCGGCTGTTCCACCCTCCTTCCCAGCCGCTGTATTGCAGTGCGGACACCTAGCAGGATAACCTTTCAGTGCCGGCACGCTCCCCCCCTGCCCTGCTCTGCCTTTTCTCTCGGTGGGATTTGCTGTGCTGACAGCACTGTTCAGAGGGTGGCAGCGGAACAGGGCTGGGGAGGAGGATCCGGGCCCTTTAAACCGCTTAGCATGCGGTTCACACGGCTCCGGGCCAGCTGTTC